CGGCCACCGCCGGGCGCTCCGCCTCCGACGGCACCGTGGGGGACGCCTGCGGCACGGGGGGCGGCTGTGAGACCCCGTGGGGTGTCCCCGTACTCCGAGGGTGTCACCTGGTGTCCTCGGGACCTTCCTTGTGCGGCACAGGGGCCGCACGCCAGGGAATACAGGTTGCCGTGCAGGCCCCAGGGACACCAGGTGCCATCTCTGCTGGGTGCAGGGTCCCCACGCCAAGTCCATGGGAATCCGGGTCCCCGTGCCACCCACAGGAGACACCACCCGGTCCCCATGCCATCTCCATGGAGGGCAGGGTCCCCATGTCACCCCTAGGGACACCAGGTCCCTGTGCCACCTTTGTTGGGTGCAGGGTCCCCATGTCACCCCCAGGAGACACCACCTGCAGTGCTGGGTCCCCAGTGCAGCCCCATGGCATCAGCGGTCCCCATGCCACCCCCATGTGATACCAGGTCCCCACAGAACCCCCATGGGGAGGTGGGTCCCCAATTCAGCCCCACAGGCCCCCAGGCCCCCACGGGCAAAGAGGCCTCAGGTGACCGTGTAGAACACCGTGTCCCCGCGCCACCCCCCCGGTGGCCACACTCACGTTGAGGTGGGAGTTGGTCACGGTGACGGTGGCCAGCAGCCCCAGGGAGATGTTGGGCAGGGACGGGGACGTGTAGAGGCTGAGCTGGCTGGCGCCGTCCAGCGTGAGGACTCGGTGCTGGGGCAGGAGCTGCTGCAGGGCCAGGAGGAGCATTGGGGTGGCTGTGAACATGCACACACGGGCTCCGTGCAAGCTCTAAGCATGCACAAATGCACCCTATGCAAGCTCTAAGTGTGCACGGTCCATGCAAATGGTGAGCCTGCACATGCAGCGTGTGCAAGCTGTGAACATGCACACACGGGCTCCGTGCAAGCTCTAAGCATGCACAAATGCACCCTATGCAAGCTCTAAGTGTGCACGGTCCATGCAAATGGTGAGCCTGCACATGCAGCGTGTGCAAGCTGTGAACATGCACACACGGGCTCCGTGCAAGCTCTAAGCATGCACAAATGCACCCTATGCAAGCTCTAAGTGTGCACGGTCCATGCAAATGGTGAGCCTGCACATGCAGCGTGTGCAAGCTGTGAACATGCACACACGGGCTCCGTGCAAGCTCTAAGCACGCACAAATGCACCCTATGCAAGCTCTAAGTGTGCACGGTCCATGCAAATGGTGAGCCTGCACATGCAGCGTGTGCAAGCTGTGAACATGCACACACGGGCTCCGTGCAAGCTCTAAGCACGCACAAATGCACCCTATGCACGCTCTAAGTGTGCACGGTCCATGCAAATGGTGAGCCTGCACATGCAGCGTGTGCAAGCTGTGAACATGCACACACGGGCTCCGTGCAAGCTCTAAGCATGCACAAATGCAGCCCATGCAAGCTGCCTGCACATGCAGTCCATGCAAACTGTGAACATGCACACACGGGCTCCGTGCAAGCTCTAAGCATGCACAAATGCACCCCATGCAAGCTGTAAGCGTGCACAGTCCATGCAAACGGTGAGCCTGCGCATGCAGCGTGTGCAAGCTGTGAACATGCACACACGGGCTCCGTGCAAGCTCTAAGCATGCACAAATGCACCCCATGCACGCTGTAAGCATGCATGGTCCATGCAAACCGTGAACATGCACATGCAGCATGTACAAGCTGCAAACATACACACATGGGCTCTATGCAAGCTGTAAGCGTTCACAGTCCATGCAAGTTGCAAACATGTGCACACGCTCTGCACGCAAGCTGTAAGCATGCACGATGCATGCAAGCTGCAAGCACGCACGTGCACGGTGCGTGCAAACGGCGAGCATGCACAAATGCACCCCACGCAAGGCACAAGCATGCTCCATCAGACCAAGCTGCAGGCATGCCCACGTGTGCCCCACGCAAGCTATAAGCACGCACAGCCCGTGCAAGCTGCCAGCGCACCCCTGCACCCTGCGACGCGCCGACCCGCGACGCGCGGCCCCGATGGAGCGCGCGGCTCCCCACCCCGGCGCGCAT